TGTCCGTCCCGCTGCTTACCAGCACCGGCTCCCTGTGGAGAGCAGGGCGCGAGACCGCAGCGTAAGCGGGGCGCACGCGAAGGGTATTAGCACCACGCCGGGGAAAACAAGGTCCGACAAAAACAAACAAACGCACGGTATGTCAGCCATACGTAGAGAAACCTCAGACAGCAGGGGCCACGCGGAGGATTATCACACCCTTCCGGGACGAACAAGGTCGACAGCAGGTTATGACCGTCAGTTCCACGCCGTGAAACTACCGCCCGGTTGGGAGGTCCGGTAAAATCGCCGGAATACCGCCAAAGTATGCGGAACCGCCAACGCTACCGTAGTATAGCGTAGCCGCCCTGCCTCTCTCTGCCTACAGCTCGTCACCGACATCAACACTTGAAAAACACCGAAGGATAGCAAGACACACGAGTCGACGCCTCGTTACCGAAAGGTCGACTGCTCCACAGTAGATCGAGAGGAAGTGGCGAAACATCGTGGCGTAGGAACCAACCGTCTCGTCCACAGCTTTCCGAAATGTTTCGCTGTGATAGAGACACCCTCTTCGTCGTTGGGATATGAAGCTTTCAAAATTTTGTCTCGGGGGGGCTGCTGAGTTGTGTCACCTGCGGTAGGTTGGAAGCGCGGCTGGTACTAAAAACAACATACCTGGTACTGGTACCAACTATTCTCACCCCAGAAGTAGTAGGTAGAAATAAAACCTATTTAGGGTTGACCACGGAAGGCGTCCGCGTCAGTTGGACCGGCACGGATATTACCGTGGAAGGTTCTATGCTGAAACCGGAACGATTTTGAATGTGAAGACAACAACAACTTTAATGTGAAGACAAGAACAACAACAAGAGCAAGAACAACAACAACAACAACAACAACAACAACAACAACAACAACAACAACAACAACAACAACAACAACAGCAACACGAAAAACATACCGGGAGCCCGACATCCCTGCCCTTAATACCACTACTCCCAAACGTGTCTCCATGCCCACCTGGGCAAGAACTGCAGCTTGGCAATGCCCCCCTCGTGGGCCCCCATCGTGTGGTGCAGGCGCCGCTCCTTGAGGTCCCACAGGCACACGCGCCCGTCCCCCCCGCCCGAACCCAGCAGCGGCAGTTCGGCCGCCGCGGCGTCCGTTCTGAAGGACATGCTGGTGACGCCTACCTCCTGCTTGAAGCTGATCAGTAGCTGGTCGGTCCTGAGGTTGAGCACCTGCCCGACGGTTATTGTTTCCAACGGGACGGTGGCGGCGGAATAGCAAGACGCGGTGGTGCGCGGGAGGCAGAGAAAAATTGCAAGCATGGAGAACCTTGGTGCCCCGCGGTTATTTGCCACGCGGTTATTTCCCACGGAACAGTGGCGGCGGCAATGTACGCGCGAAGAACCGAAAGGAGAATATGTCGGTGGTAAGCAAGGAGCACCTTTATTGCCCCGCGGTTATTTGGCCCGCGGTTATTTCCCACGGAACGGTGGCGGCGGCAATGTGTGCGGGAAGCAGCGAAAAGAGAAGATATCGGGAAAGGGAAGAAGCCACGGAAACGGTTGAGGATGAGCAGAGTAGCTGCCCAGGACAAAAAGACAGAAAAGGGGCGTCAGGTGTTGCATACAGCGGACGGACGCCAAAAGTGTACTGCTGCTGGGAGGATACTAAATCGTCTACACCCTGATCGCGGGGTCAAGCCGAACACACGTTCGCCGCCCCCAGACCAGAGGGGGACACCCTGAATAATTAATCGCGACTGGGGCCCGTATACTAATTACAACAGCAAGAGAACCAACACTAGGCACCTCCCCTGGCGTAGTTGCAACATACCAAGCATTGGACATAGATGAAAAATGCTTTGCAAGAGCCTGCGCCACCGCTTTGGAATTGGCTCGCACGCGGCCAAACGCACAGGCGACGAGAGAAAGCACGAACAACGCCGCAAACCGAAACCAACATCGCTGTGGAATCGGTCCGCGCGCGGAGAAGTACTAAGGGGTTGAGAGCAAAACACGTTCGGTAGTGGTCTCCGGTATCACGCCGATGCGATTTCACTGTCATTACTCAAGAGTATGAAGCAATTGGATACCCCACCTATGCCAGGCGATTTCAACCGCAGTGTACAAGGAAACCGGCAATGTTCCGGCACCACCGTCATTGTGCGTGTGATGGCAGCGGGGTGCGACTGTTTTTTAAATCATCCCGATCTTGGTTTTCTATCGCACCCCGGTGCCATAACACCGAAGGGTGCCGCAACACCGATACCGGTGTAGAAATCCAACTCATGTACCTCTAGATTTCCAACGCACCCCCGGTGCGATGACATCGATAGGTGCGATACCCAAGAAACGAACAGGCGGTTCCTGGGACATGTAGCTTGCGTAGGCGGTACCATGCAACCAGCCCGGAGTGGTGATCAGTGACGAGGTCGAATCCGCGCTTGGGGTGGCGTGTGCTAAAGAGAACAGAAGCTGTGGTTCCCTGCTGGGGAAGGTATACGGCACGGTATCGTTTTTCTTCCAGCCACTTCGTTGGTGGCAAGCCCCTCCATTGTTAGCTGGTGGCTTCCCTCTGCCTTTTTCTGTCTCAAGGGGCATGGTACCGACAGAATTGAAGTACCGTTTACGACCCCCTCCTTGTTCGGTTGGTTGGAGGTGCTGTGTGCTTGGTTGAGTGAGTGAGGGAGTGAGTGAGTGCATTAAATCATGCCGTTCTTGATGCTTTTGCGCACCCCGGTGGTGCAACACCGATGGGTGCGAAATCACCGATGGGTGCCATCGCACGTACAATTACGGTACTCCGGGACCACACTGTGCAACGCGCTGCTGCGCGGTCATCGACGCGGCTCACCTGTACACGGCCATCACTGAGGCCAACGGCTGCCACGTCCAGGGCGGGGGACGGCTCGATACAGCTCACCGTCGCACCCTTAGGGTCCAAGCTTTGGAAGGAGTGCACTCGCCTGCGCAGGCGTTTCGAAAAGGAAAAGCGCGCGCATCGTCCACGTCGAATGAAGAGAAAATATGGGCACATTTCCACGCAAATATGGGCACATTTCCACGCAAATATGGGCACATTTCTACGAACAAATGGGCACGTTTCCACGATAACCGGATAGGGGACCATTTCCTCCTCTCGAGGTTGACGGTTTTTCCGTGGGATGTACCGTGGTGGGATACAGTACACATGTGAACAAGGTTGCGAGCCTCTTTTCGCACCCACTTCCCCTTTACTACATTGTTGTTGTCACATTAGAAGCCGTGCCGTATTCCGCTCAGTGTCTTCTAACATCCGTGCTGGTCCAATTGGCCCGGACGCCTTCCGTGCTCACAGGCCAGCTACAACTCAAAGAGGGATGGTTCTCAACGCATGGTAAGAGTGTCTACAACATGTAGAGTGGTGGGGCGTCATCCTAGCCGTCAACATAAATACTTGCTGTTAATGTAGTACCCCACGAAGATGAACAGGCCAACGCTCTTCCGGAAAGCTCTTGACGAACGCCGCGAGTTTTCCGCACCGCCACAGTTATTTCTGCAGAGTGACAGAGCTTCGAAAATCGGTCCAGGGGGAGTGTTATCTTGCGTATGCGATCATCACCTGCCCGCCCTAACGTTTCACAGCTGCAAGGCTCCTCCCTCCGAGCCCACCACCACCTTGTTCAGGTACGTCGGCGGGTGCGCCAGCGCTGTCGGCACGAAGCCCCCTTCCAAGGCCGCGTCGCAGGTCGGTTTACCCACGACACCCTCCCCTCCCCCCTGTGGACCCCCGCGGGGCCCCTTGCTCTTGCCGTCGGGGCGGTGCTTGAGATCCCAACCCTTGAGGCGGCCCTCCTCGCAAAGAGACACGAGCGTGTTGCCGACGCACAGCAGGAAGCGAACCTGGGCGTGATGCCGTAGCGTTAGGATCAGAAGAAGAGGAAGGCATGGAGCGCATGTTTCTCCTCGAGACAAGCGTGCTTGTTGGTGATGGGGCACGGGGAAGGGGGAGTTGTACTAGTGTACACGCATGCCGTAGTCGGTAGACCATACACAGACCTGGCATCCTTGCATTGCCGAGACGGAGCGATATGCCGGGTTTTCGTCGACTCAGGCTACTCTCCACAAGGGTGGACCAGAAGCCGGGCACCACTCCCCCTTGCGTTTGCTGATTTTCCCAAGTTTGCTGATTTTCGCCATCCCTTGGCCGACAAAGCCGGATTCATCGATAGTTCGGTCTCTGGGGAACACCGTCTGCCGAAGTTACAACACAAGCTTAACCCACCGCCATCACCACGATATAGCCGCTAGGAAATTATGGCCAAACGCAACTCCTCAGATACCATGCGCCGCACACACTGGTGTCGAACGCACAAGGCTCCCCGCGGGTGTGTTGGAGGTCTATCTCTGCTACCACTTTCACCCCGTCACCTTCCCCTGACATTGTATCTCTCTTCTGTTGTTTCGATAGTAGCTCTGTCTAGTTTACACAGTGCCCGCCTCGTCTATTTCCGGCTTACATTGTAGACGCTTTCCACCTCTACTATTTACGTGTCCTCTGTTGATACTATATTATAGCAGCTCTGTTTCTCTCTCCTCTCTTCCATGTCTAGTTAAACGGCATCCATATCTACTCTTTCCGCCATGCATGTTTAACGCTGCCGACCTCTTCTATTGCTTACGCTTTTAGCACAGTCCATCTCAAGCACCTCCACCTCAATGCAACATGTGCCTCTCTGTGAAAGTTGACAGATAGGAGAGAGCACGAAATTGTTTGTGTTCACATCGAGATGCCCAAGTGTTGTCGTTTAGACCAAGGCGAAAGCGATGGAAAGATTTCACGAAATCGGAAGGGAGGAAAGAAGAGAACACGAA